TGCCATATTTTTTTTCATTCTTATTTTTGTCTCCTATCCTGTTTCTGCCTTTTGTAGTTTTCGTTGAATATTTTATATACCACATTCTTGCTTTTCCTCGACTTTTAAAAAAATTTCTCAGTGGTTTTTCTAGGCATTGCAATATATATTTAAAGCTACTCCCACGTACATCCTTCATCAACCCTGTACCATTTCACAGATAATTCAGCTTTTCATCATAAGAAAACACTCACTTTCCTTTCTTGTATCACTTGTCTCATTTCATTTATTGTACAGAAGCTGTAATCATCAAATATTTTGTTATGATTTTGAACAAATATCTACTACTTTATAAATGTTTTAATTTTATCTTCAGTGTCTTCTTCTTTAATGTAATTCCTTTCTTGTATATAACTGGAATTTTAAAAATATTTTAAATGTCTACCCTCGCTCCTATATTGGCAAGATGCTTTGTCCCGCTCATTTTTTTCTATTTGTCCTTACTCTTTGGTTCTCTGCAGTTGAGATGTGACCTGTCTACACGTGAGTAGGAGTGTTTATTCTGCTTGGTGTTCTGTGCGTTTTCCTGGTGGCATAGTTTGCTTTCTGAGATTTCTTTGAGAAAACAGTCATTATTCCTTCATGTATATTCTCTGGTCCTTCCTACTTCCTCTGGGAGCCCCACTGCACTTACGTACACCATAATAGTTGTCCCACAGGCTTTGGATTTTTTTATTTTTTATTCAGTCTTTGTGATTTTCAGGTTGGGAAGCAATGGCTCCCATGGATGTAGGACAGGGGCCTGGGCTTACTTCAGACCCGACACGTCACTGCTGCCTCAGCCGGGAGCCAGAAAGGGCTGCAGGAGCCAGACACGTATTGGACTAGCAGGGCTCCAGCCGACCAATGATGAGTCTAGGCTGACATTCCTCACCTAATTAGGACTTTTTTGTTTGTTTTTACAAGCTCCGTTCTTTCATTGTGGCCTTTGATTTTTTTCATGGTCCATTTGAGGATTTTTAATAGGAAACAGCCTTCTTTCTATTGCTGAGGACCTTCAAAATTCATATGTACAAGTTCACAATTTGCAAATTTAAATATTTCAGACAAACCATTTGTTAAACATCAAAATGAGAAATAAGTTTACTGATGTCTTAAGTAAAGCTCTAAGAAAATTTTTTTAATTTTAGTATTTTCTCCTCCATAGAAGATCATCTCATTTAGATCACAAAGATTTTCTGATAGATTTTAATTGGAAAACAAGTACAGATGTGAGACACAGTGTTCCAACTTGATTCAGGATCACAATGGCTATTATGGATCTTTGTAATCCCATATGAATTTCATGATCACTTTTGCTAATTCTGTAAAAATACCATTAGCATTTTGATAAGGATTGTATTGAATCTATGGATTGCTCTAAGTGCAGTATTGACATGTTAATGATCTAATTATTCCAATTGAGCATGGATTATCTTCTCATTTTTTTGTGTCCTTGTGTAAGTCTTTCATCAATGTTGCATAATTTTCATTGTAGAGATCCTTGGTTAAATTTATTTCCAATTTTGTTCAAAATACCTAATTTTAAAACATACTGCAAAGCTATAACAATTGAAACAGCATTGTACTAACATAAAAATTTGTATATGTATCAACTAAAGAGAGAGAACCCATCAGTAAATGCACATGCAGAGAGCCAACTGATTTTTTACAAAGGTGCCAAGAACACATATTGACAAAACAGTTCACTTTTTAGTATGTGGTTCTGGAATATTGGGTGCATGCATGTAGAAGGATGATATTGGATCCCTACCTCTTACCTTGTATACAAATAAACTCAAGATTTATCAAAGACCAAAATGTAAAGAAACTACAAGAAACTACAAGATTGTAGAAGGAGCTGAGCCGTAGGAGAAATACTTCAGGACATTGGGATAGGTGATAATTCCTTGGATAAGATCCTGAAAGTACAATCCACAAAAGCAAAACTAGACAAACAGTTCAACAACAACAATAAAACTAGTTCAGTTAATGGAGCAAAGGACTAGTATAGACAGTTCTTGAAAGAAGAACCACAAATGGCCACACAATATTTTATATTTTATCTTGAAATTTGAACTAGTTGATAACACTTGAAAATTAAGATGTGACATAAAATCTGAATTTCTAAAGATTCTCCTCAAACTTGCAGTGACAGAGGCATCAGTGCTAAGTCATTGCTGCCCCTTTTTCCTGATGTCTCCAGCACTGTCTTGTGTCTCATACAGCTTTCTTCACTTAAATTACCTGGCTGATACTAGTGAAACAATTGCATTTGGGATATCTATTGAACAAAGTATGACAGGTTAAAGCAGTGAAGTTAAAGGTTAAAGCAGGAAGGCTTGCTGAGGATGCTGGGAACCACATGTTGAAGGAAGTTCATGGACATAAAGTATTTGTGTGATGGTTGTGACCACAGGTTGTTCCCTTAACTAGATCTCTCTTTGAATTGAGCATGGTCTCAGAAGTCCCAAATGGAATTGTCACATGGCTAGGGGCCATCAGCAATGATATGCTCAGTGGGGCATCTTTGAAATGAGTTCCTGCATATGAAAGTGTAGGAAGGTGAAAGATGTTTTCCCATAGAAGCCTGGTGTATTGTAAGTGGTACATCTCCTTTACTCTCCGGAACAACAGCAGCAGCAGTGCAAGATCAGTATGGGTGGGCGTTTCCTCATCTGTAGCGCTGGAGGAGTTCAGGCAGGAAGCCTCGGGAAGTTGGCTCTACCTGTTTGTTATAGGCAGAACAAAAAAACGATAATGAAGCTTAGATCAGTCCAAAACAAATGAATGTAAGCAGTGAGTGGGCGTGTTACCTGACTTCTGGAGCAAATTATCTCAGTCTTCCTCTTCAGTGTCGCTGAGGAGACCTGGCCTCGAACTGCTTTTCCAGGGAACTGGCAGATAGGGAATTGAAGAGAAAATGTGTTCTTCTGAGTATAGCTGTCGAAACGGGGGCTGGGCTGCCCCTGCCAGAACTGCTCGTGAGAACCATGGGGCCCAAACCCACTCTCACACCAGCATGGCTGCTGAGGACTGAGAGCCCTTATGGTCAGGTCTGTATGTGGCAAGAGGAGCAGGCCACCGGGGACTCTAGGGGTCACACTGACTAGCCTCTCCATATCTTCACTTTACACTGCCTAAATTGTTATTAATGGCGTTCACTTCTCCATTTAAAACTGTATCTGCATTCTAACAACTTGAGCAATAAAGGGCACAACTTATTAATGAAACCCTTCTGCCTTCAAAGTATGAAATTAGAAGATGATTATAACTACAGGCAAGAAAGCATTTGGATTATGTGTCATTTGGAAATGATAATAAAGATTACCCATATGGTCTAATGTTTCAGTGCCTCCCGCTGCATTAAGCAATGGCCCAATACGGGTGCAATTTTGATTATGTGGCTCGTTTTCAATTCTTCTGTGTCCTAGGTCAATCAATGTCAAGATGATTTACTAGGAATAGCTGCTACTTTCTTTTGGGAATTGCTTAAAGGTGGTTGGGCAGAATTTGAGATTTAACACCCAGTTATTTTGGCATGATGGTGTTATGTTCTTCTTAACCCTTTTTTCCATCTCCTTCAGCTTCCCTAATTCTATGCTTGTTTGTCTTGAGTGCATAAAACAACCTCTGCTAGGAAGACAGATAAAATGGGTTTTATCTGCTTATTTATGTTGGTTTCCCTCAGGTTCTTATAGCTCTCGTGCAGGCATCTGTCATTTTCTGTTATGAGTTTTTCGTGGTCAGAGAGCAGCATGCAGAGGCCAACATCAATCCATGTCGGCATAGCAATTGGACATTTCTCTGCTGTCTTCCACAGAAGGAAGGGGCAGAGAGGACATCGTCATGCTAAATGTTCCAGAGATGCCGACTTCTTGGCTCTGTAGGGATTTGTCAGCCTTAATGGGGAGCTATTTGGGGCTGACTTGGGATTTGGCCAAGTGTCACAGCCTTCTGGGGATTCATGGTCTGTCCCTGCTGTGTTGCAGGCCTGAGCTCTGCTGTCCTTAGGAAGCTGTGAGTCAAAGCCTGCTCCTTTATGCACAAACTCCAGTTATACTCTCTTCACTCATTGCCTAATTGTTTCTTGACTCTGATCATGTGCCTTTTAGATCCATTCTTGGATTTCTGATGGAGCCCAGCTCATGGGGCTTCCATCAACTTTAAGATGGTGTGAAGCGATATGTTTTAATTGGGAACTGCACTTCAGGTCCTGAATTTTGATTTTCTTCCCCTGGGACCAGTTCAGTGTGCAGTTCAGTCCCCTGTGGGGCTAGTAGGCCAAGCAGCAAGTGCTCCATGATCACAAGGACAATAGCCATAGCTCCTCAGTGTACCGTGCTGCCGAGCTGTCAATTCTGGTAGGTTCAAAGCATCATCCCTTCTCCTGAGGCAGCTCTGATTCTATTCTTGTTTGTCTCAGATGCGTAGAACAAGCTCTTATAGTAAGAAACATAAAACTTGGCTTTATCTGTTTGTGTTAGTGTCCCTTAGGTCTTTATGAAATATCAATATTGATTTATAATATCTCCAACCTGCGTTGGCTTTATTACAACAGAAACCCAAGGTCAAGTCAAGAAGCATCTGTATTTCAATGTTGTCTGGCGAATACCAGAGGAAATCTTATCTTTAGTATTTTATGTGAAAATATCCACAATTATTGAGTGAAAGATTCCTAACTCTGGGAACACTTTAGTAATCAGGTGGATGAATGTGTTCTACTAGAATCATTGGGGCCACTGTAATTTAGGTTGTAAGAACACTGTTTTTCTCTTACCACCTAGATATCCCGGTTTCCTTGAGAACAGGCAGTAGGGTTTTTCGTCCCTGAGCCTGTAGGAAGCCCAGGAAGCTGACATATAGAATGCACCAGAAGTCAATGGTTGAATGCATATCATTCTGAACAATGGTCGGTGTACATGCAAAGGCCCCTTTTGCATTTCCATGCATACCTACATGATTGACTTCTCTGTCCTAAGGAAACTGGCCAAGAAGCGGAAGGAGACAATGAGCAGCACCCGGCAGGAGATGACCGTGATGGTGAACTCCATGGACAAAAGCTATGCTGAGCAAGGCACCAACTGCGACGAGGCCTTCTCGTTCATGGACACGCACAATCTGAATGGGAGGTGTAAGTGCACAGAGTCCTGGGCTGGCCATGCTTCTCTCTGACTTTCCAGGATTCTGTGTAGCACTGGGTGATTAAAAAGCACAGTAACTTCCTAGAGAGTTCTTAAGCCCTGTTGAATTGTGCAGTTACTTTAAATGATCCTCAAAAACTTCTTCATGCACCGTGGGTTGCTTAGCAATGATTCTGCTCTGAGGGTGATAGGCCCAGATTGGAGAGCACAGAAAATCACGCTGAAGTTCAGACGTTGGGAGCACTGCCTTGAAGCCTTCCATTTACTTCAGCAGCAAGGCACCTGCTTTTCATCCTCTCCTTGGCTGTTTAGATCCTATTTGTAAGCAAGCCAGGTGTAGAATTACCCAAGGGAAGCCTGTTATAAAACAGTTCGCTAAATGGCAGTAACAAGTTAATTGTTTATTTGTTTAGCAGACAGGTTCAGCCTTGATTATATGGCTATGAATGGCAATTAATAAATTAAATTGCGTTTCAGCTCCCCAAGTCTTACCACTTCACACCAGGTGGGTAAACCAAAAGTGGCTAATACCTTCCGCCCACTACACCTGTGCTCCAGGTAGAGCAGCGTTATTTTAGGAAGCTAACAATTAGACTGACTGTACGAAGTACAAAAGGAGCCATTGCTCTCTAGAGACCAGAGGGATCTCCCATTATCATAGCCGTGCTCTGATTCAGGAGTCACTTTAAGTTCAAGATTGGGAGGCTTTTTTTACTCTTTTGACTGATCTGCCATCAGGCATTATATTTGTGCCTCTCCTAATAAATACAACAGGGAGGGAAATGAGTTTTTTTTTTTCATTTTCCTCCTAGTTTGTTTTTATTTTGCTTTATTTTTTTTTTTTTCATTTGAGAGGCTGAGACAGACAGCGAGAGCTCCATCTACCGCTTCACTACCCAGATACTCGCATTGACTGCTACTGGGAGCCAGAAACTTGACCCAAGCCTCTGACATAGGTGACACTTGAGCCATCAGTTGCTGCCTCCCAGAGTGCCTGTGAACAGGGAGCTGCAGTGAGGGGCACAAGCAGAACTCGCAGGCTCCTAAGGGAGTGTGTGTCCCAAGTGGCAGCATTACAGTTGAGCCAAGCAACTCCTCCCCCCATGCCCTCCCCCATGGGATCTGTGAGAAGTACTCAAGGCATCTCATCCCTTGGCAGTGACCCTGACGCTAATCCTCAGCATAAAGCTCTCTTAATACCTGTAAAACATGAGAGCCCCACACCTATTTATAAGCATTTAAAACTAACCATGAAAATGTTTATCAGAGCGGAGAATAATCTGTCCACAAAGCAAGTATGAGCTGTGCCATCAACTGTAACATGCTATAAAAAGAAATGTCTTTTTATGCTAAATGTTTTAAAATATTTTAACAAAAAGATAAAGGCAGCAATGATTTTATATCTGCTTTGCGTATTGTTACCAACCACATAAAATGTCTAATGTAATAAGGAGGCATCCCTGGCCCTTACATGTTTTATAGGTACTCTTGTTGTTCATGATTTTATCAGTTACTCTTTTTTTTTCCCCCTGGCAGCTTGCCAGAAACATGAACTTCTCTGTTATAGAAAAATATCTTATAAATGACAGGCAGGATGAGTTTTGGGTTCTGGTTCTGTTTTGTATCAAGGCTGCACTTTAATTTTTAGATTTATTTTTATCTGAAAGGCAGATAAAATTTACAGAGGAGACAGAGGAAAAGATCTTCTATCTGCTGGTTCACTCCCCAAGTGGGTACAATTGCCAGAGGTGAGCTGATCCAAAGCCAAGAGCCTCTTCCAGGTTTCCCATGTGGCTCCAGAGCCCCAGGGCTTTGGGCTATCCTCTGCTGCTCTGAAGTGGTGCAGCTGGGACATGAAATAGTGCCCATATGGAATGCAGGTGCTTGCAGGCAGAAGACTAGCCAGTTGAGCCATTGCAGCGACCTCCAGATCTACACTTGAATAATACAGGGGTCAACTCAGTGTTCTAAAGGAAAGAAACTAGAGTATGTTAATGGGTCGTCTGGATCATTACAGATTGTGATATGTACAGGGATTGGGAAGTGCTACCTATCAGTATGATGATGTAATTGCATGAAATAAATGATGCAACTACTGCAGAAGAGTGAAGTGTTAAGCTTTGGGTTAAGCACTTGAGTATTCAAATCCTTACTTTGAATGAAATGAAAGTGTTTTGAAAACATCAGTCAATTAAGATGATGTTGAAGAGACTTAACAGACTGATTTAAGCATAGGAAATATCCATGTTTAATGGAATCAGATAAATAGGATAGAACTGTTAATAATGAGAAGAAATATAAAACATAATAGCATTGAGTGTATCAGAGGAATATTTCCAAAAATTTTTTTTTAAAAAGTAAGCCTTCTTTGTAAGATTTTAAAGGCTAAGAAACCAATGGAAGTATGTGCTCTGACTTTGAATGTTAAATGTGAGGAATATCACTCTTAGTTTTCACAAGCCAGGTCAAGGAAGAAAGAAAAATATTTAGCAAGGTTCAAGTGCATTAATATTGAGAATATTCGCCAAAAGGCATGAGTAAACAAAGTGCTTCTGCTTTTCTTTGTGAAACGCAGCTTGCTGTGGTCAAAGAGTGAGCAAAGGCTAGACGTCCAGACAGGAGTTTGATCCGTTTCTGTATTCCAAGTGGTGGCCTTGGCTGTGGGGTGTTCTCTCATGGTCGAGTAGGAGAAGCCTTCTGTTGGGAAAGGGCCAACCACTACCCAGAACCCGTGGAGAAAGGCCGTGTTTGCCCCGTAGCTTTCAGAGAATCTTGGCAATGTCTTCACCTCAACATCCTACGCACGTGTGGCACCACCACATGTCTGCGGGCATCAGCCTTCCACAGTTGCTGACCAGCCTTTCTTTCATTTACAGCTGTGTCCTCACCCTCGTCGTTTACGATGAAAACCAACACTCTGAGCACATCAGTGCCTAATTCCTATTACCCAGGTAACGGGTCCTTCCATGGTTCCCTTTTTTCACCAGCATCACGCAACCCCACAGTGCTAGCCACAGTGCTCGGGAGCTTGATCTGTTGGATGTGTCATAACCCAAGGCTTTCTGTGGCTTTCTAATGGGAGACTGGGGGGCCTACCATCAGTCATTTATTGTTCTTTCTCTTTTTACTTTCTCTGCATTGCCCTGCTTACGATGTATGACAGACCCATTTGTGCCAACTGCAATTTTAGGTGAGAACATTTCCCTTTACCATAGTCTATTACAGGAGGAACATAGAAAGCCAGTGCCACTCTGTAGGAGACTGGAGTTTTAATTTTGGGTGCTTGGGGATTATAATGGAAAAGGGGTGGCGGTGAGGAGGAGTGGAGGAGGCTTGGGAGGGTGGGGGCAGATGATGAAGACTTCCTGAAAGATTATGCATGTATGTTGGGGACAACACCCCAAGGCTCCAAGGGACAAGCCCAGCTCCAGTATTCTCCCTTTCTGGGTTCAAAATTTAAACACAAACATTATGTCTGGAACCGGGGGAAAAACCAAATTACCACCGCTCAGCTATGTACTTCCAAAAGCTGAATTCTGTCCAGTGTAATATGATAGTCATTAAAGTGAAAATGGCTTCTTATTTTCACTTACCTCTAAGCACCAAGGACTTCAGTGTCAAAAGAGCATCTTTCTAATTACGCCAAGTGTGAAGCAGAAAAATGATGGCAATAGAGTTTGGACCTCCTCCCCACCCTAGGAGCCCCTAGGGTGTCTGCCACCCAGCGTTCTGGAGTGTCTGTCATGCAGTGGAATTGCAAAGGAGCTGATGTTCTGAGCGGCGCAATGACAAGATGGCACTTCATGATCATACAATTTATTATGTGTCAAATGTCACGAGCAATGCACTAAAATGTGAGCCCAGTGGGGCAGAATTCATTTAAAGTATGAAATATTCCCAGCAGGGGGTTACAGAAAAAATTCCCGTTTGTCCAATGTAAGAAGGGTGAGGAGAAATGGCATTACCTGGCTGTGCTAACCACACAAGCATGTGCTGCTGTTGCATTTGAGACGCATAAATAACCCAAGTCTATCACGGCTGTGTTCTCTTTCTACTACTAACCTTACCGAAAAGGAGCACAACAAAAACGACTTCCAGGTATATAACAATTCATCGTAGCCAGAGTTCCATCCTCAGCTGTTTGACTTCCTCTTCCTGATTCTCTTTATAAGGGTTGATCTCTTTGCAACATAATTTTTCCCCCTGTGCTTCTCTTTTCTCAGAGTTGTTAAGATTTTTGTTTAGAGGGCAACTTGTATTTTCCTTAGTTTTCTCTGGGCTTAAGCAAGTTTGTTGCTTGAGAAAAGAAATGAGCTAAGACAGGAACGTAAGAGTAGATATAAAATCGAATTTTAGAGTTTTGTACCGTCTTGAGGACTAACTTACCCAGCCCATGAAAGTCAGCCTCTCACCTTACCTTTTACCACCTGTAAGGGAGAGAAAACTCCAGTTTTATTGTTTGGGTAATTGGGCGACACAGTCTAGTTCTAGGTACCCAAAGGATGTAATTTACATGAATGTAAATTACAGAATCTTGTGGTAGATGAAGATCTATGATTTCTTTGAAGGTGGGGCAGCCATTCCCAGGCTCTTCTGCTGATGATCCTGACCTTGGCAGAACTGCAGGTAGGGAGGGGCTAAGATCTGCAGCAGCAGAGTGAAGAAATGATCAAACTTCGCAGCAGAGCCGAGATAAGCTTATGCAACAGCTGTCATTTTTGGAAGTTGCTGCTTTGTTATGAATGATCAGGACATCCTTTAAAGTTAGTTATGCTTCTCAAAGGAAGAGAGACTCGGGTGAACAGACAGTGCAAGTAGCAGAAGGGACGGACACCATGAAAATGCCAACCATACGTACAAATACCTCTTGTCACATTTAGGTCGGTTATGAACCAAAGTCGTAAAAGTATTACTTGAGAACTGTGGTCCGTACAGGATACTGGCTACAGACCAGCTGCTACATATTGCATCAGAAGGCCTTGGGGAGGTTATCACTGGAGACCATGGAGTCCAGACAAGTTGTGTATCTACTCTGGCCCAGACAGTAGCAGTCAAAATTTACATTAAAACAACAACAACAAAAAAGAATGCTGTGTTGGGAGCCAGAGCCTCAGAAATATTAAATTCTCTGATACCTTTGTCTTTTATCCACACGTGTTAACATGCCCAGCCCTAACAGTATAAGTATCTTATTCTTTCATTTGCTTACAAAAATCAGTGGGTGGATGGGTGGGACCTCTCCCATATCAAAAAGTATAACATTAAGCTCAAATCAGATAATTTCAGCCAGCTCATTGAAAATTTAGGATGTCATTAAACCATGTAGATAGAATTAATTTTCAATTTGACAAAACTGTCAGAACTATGAGCATCAAACGTTATTGCTGATTTTGTCTTCAGTATTATTTTTAATTTATCAATCTTGGTGATTTTTGACAAATATTGAAAACTAATGACAAATAGTTTTTAAGTCATATTTGATGAAAAGGAAATTGATTAATCATTCACTTTACTGGAATTAAGAATTTCTAATAGTTGAGGTGACCCAATTCCGTAACACATATTGTATAAGAAACCTATTCCCTCTTCAGTATGTACCTAACAGCAGCCTCTTCCTAGCTGGGTTGGGTGGTGTGTGAATGTATTCAGACGTGTTCCACATCAGAAATGAGGCCAAAGTCTGATCATGTAGTGCGAGAGGATCATGGGCAACAGTGAGAGTAGTTGTAGCCCTATGGATTTAAAACTTCCAAAAATACTCTGACCTGGAAGCTGAGTGTCACCAGGCTGCTGGTGTATCCAAGTGAAAGACCCAAATCATTTAAGGGAACTAAAGAAGGTCATCCCGCAATAGACAGCATATTAATTATGTTCATCCCACAAGGAACAAAACTGAGAGAATGAGAGAGGCACAGAGGGGAAACTAATTATTGTTCCATTTATTTTAGCCTGAAGAACAAGGCTTCCTGCTGGAGCGACTGAACACTCCAGGGATTCAGTGCTCCAGCAGGGATCCTGGATCCCCAGTCTACAAGCCTGGCCATTGCCAGCATGTAAATCTGATGGGACAATTCCCTGGTTGATTTCTGACTGTTAAAATGGGAACCTATGAGTTGCAGAATTTCAAAGCAAATCCAAATGAGAACAATCATAAAGTCAACTTACCACCCTTTTTTTATTTTGTCTTTGTGTCTTTAGCCACCTTGTAGTGATCCAGGTGCCATTTCAGCAAAGCGACATAGCTACACACTTGTGTGCCACCTTTCATACCATGCATCTCAGGTGCTTTGCAGTACAGACAGGAGGGAGGTTCCAAAACCGGGCCCTGCTCACCAAGCACAGCACCCAGTTGCCTTTGGAGCTGGACCTCTCGGTTTAGAAAACTTAAAAAGCATAAGAGCTGAATTCCCTTTTGAAAAATAACCTGATAGTATGGGGGAAAAAATTGAACATAGCCTTTCCTATGTGTGTTAATTCTTTATATCTGAAATCAGTATTTAGTAAAAGATTCTCATTTTAAGTTAACTTAGCTCTCTATTTTACAAGGATGTCCATCCTCGATCATAAGACAGCTAAAGGGATTCAGCATTACAACAAACTAACCTGTAGAATGTGGAATTCTTAATCCAATAGTACTTTCCCACATAAAACATTTTTGATGGTTACCATTTCTGCAGTTCATTCATCTAATTTACTAGTGGTCTGCCATGAAAACACAGCCTCTTTAGGCTTACTTAACTAAATTTTGACATTAATTTTTGGCACAATTTGGTGGACTTGTTCAAGAAATTTAAACAACGTGTGTTGATTACAGATAAGCCTTATGCAGTTATTACATGGTTGGGGGGGTGAAATTCAATTATGATGCTGATTTTTACCTCTTTGTTATTGGGTATTCAAATTTAACCCATCCATCCCCACATGGTGGGAGATCTGAGGTTTTGTCCTCTGACCACTTCTGAATAGAAGACTTAACGGTAAACTTACAACACAATATGAAAGCTACCTGGAATGATTCACACAGTACTATTGCTTATGCCCTGTTTCCTTTTTCTCCTCCTCTTTTCTCCTGATATGTATCTTCTTAAAAGTGCCAATAAATGGTAAGTGCCCTGATTCACCCCACGGAAAAGACGCGGAGGGAGTGGGAATGTGTGTCGAACGTGTAGGTTCTGAGGAAGCCAGCTGGGGCCATCCAGTGCTGGCCTGCATGTCCATGCTTGTAGAACATTCCATGTTTGCTGTGTCGGTCCACGCTATTTTGCCAGCCTTTCTGATACCAAAGCATGCAAAGTGGTTTATCCAAACCTTATCCCCAGACCAAGGTTCTTTTATTTGTGCACTCCTCTTTGACTTCCACATTTCCATTTGCCAGCTTTCTAAGCCGACCCATTTTGTGCACTTTTATTTTGCTCATAGAACATTTGTAGAGTGTCTTTATCTCATCACAAAAACTGGTGATCTAAGGTTTGGAGGGCCCAAAACCAGTTTTGTAGCAGGTCTTAACGACGTTTCAGATCGAAATTTCTACAAACTTGTGCACCGAGAGGCTAAAAAGGTTTAGTGAAAGCAATATATCGTTTGGACTGCTTTGTAAAAACAAAGATTTCTGCCTCATTCCTATGATATTGCCAACCCCATTGAAATCTCTAAACATTTAACTTTTCTTTTTTGTCGAGTCATCATAAGGATTACTGTAGCCGTAGGCTGGGGGATGTTTGCAGTGGCCAGCTCTGTAGCATTCTGGGTGATCCTAATTTGACCTCGCCTTTACTTACACCACGCTCTTCTTTTCCCAGATGAAACCCACACAATGGCCAGTGATACCAGCAGCCTGGTGCAGTCCCACACCTACAAGAAGCGGGAGCAGACAGATGTGCCCTACCAGACCGGCCAGCTTCACCCCGCCATCCGAGTGGCAGACCTCCTTCAGCACATCACGCAGATGAAGTGTGCTGAGGGCTACGGCTTCAAGGAGGAGTATGAGGTGAGCACGGGCTCCTCGCTGGGCAGCAGGCCTGGTACTGTGCTCGCCTGGAAGTTTGCTGGTCTTTTGCCTATGTGTCCATGTCCTCTGATGCCAGTGCTTGTGACCAAGAGGTCCACTCCTGCACATTGCATGCAAAAGGTTCAGGTTTCCACTTTGTACCATTTTCTACATAAATATGCAATGAAGTTAGAAGCCCACTAGGCTCAATTCCTCTTTCTCGATCACCTTCCTGGGCATTTCATGTTGTTAAATATGATGTGAAATCCCAATAATTTTATAGTAGTTGTCTCAGGAAGAAACTGTTCACTTAAAGCAATTATGGACCAATCAGGGATGGCATGCAATGGAAAATTAGCAGTAAAGAGATTGGCTACTGTCACAGGTGTGACAGCTGTTATTGTCATGCCAGCCCAGAGAGCTGGCCACTGTCCTGGGCCCTTGCATGGACAGCTCTCACAAGTCTTTCCTGGAATGGTGACATCCTTCAACCCTATGGAAAATGTAAGGCTTACTCCTCTTAGCCTCCGCCATCAGCTATTTCTGTTGGAAGGTCATTCAAGCACTGAGGCTTGAGCAAGTCTAATTCAGAGAAGCTTGCCACCACTTGAGAGGGTGTGTATATAAGGGATGAAGGGGTACAAAGCAGCTTGAAATACTTTAATGATTAAGTAGCATATGTAGAATAATAATAGAATTGTTACAGGTAAGTAGCTTTTTAAATCTTAGGATGTGTTGCTGGTTCTCTGTGTACCTAACTAGCTCGTTGTTAGGAAGCAGCAGTCTAAAATCTGAGTATTTTTCAAATCGGTTTTCTTTAGCCTCTCTTGTAGACTCTCTTGTGAGTTTCCAACTCGGTGTCTGTCCTTGTGGGAACACTCATCATTTTCATTTTATGCCCAGGATGCTGCATTGTCTTGGGTCTAGCCCTCTTCCCAAGCATAATCATCCAGTGTTCCTTAAGGCAACCAGTGAACACATGATACCCACATTGGCCTTGCCACTGCTGTGCTTCTAAGAGCAAGTCATTGGTCCCAGGCAGCCAAATAGACATGTTTTCTCTGCTAACTTGTGCGTCCTGGTGCATTGCCAATGACCTCAGCTAGGAAGACTGCAAAGCCAAGGAAACAGATCCAAACCATGCCCCGTGGGCTGGTTTTCAATCCAGAGGATATTTTCAAATGAAGTTCTGCATTTTAATAAGCTTGAAATTCTTGGATTTACCTTTAGCTGTTCAATGTATAATTCAGTGAAATTGACTGCCTTTGCATATTTCCTCATGCACTTTTAAAGGCTAGCTTAGGAATTAATAGGATTAAGAGTAAGACTTCCAAAAGCATTAATATCTTATGAAAGACAAAATTAGGTTATTGAAAGAATATAAGCCTAATGACTAGGAATGATGTCTTAGTTCTATCCAATTCTGAATGCAGATATAGCTCAAATGTTTATTAAAGATGTTAATGTCAAAGAGATTAGTTATAGGTTCAAATAACAATTAAAAGGACCTGAGTCCTATTTTCATGGACCATCTAAAAATACCTACTTAAGAATTCCTACTGCAGATGCTTTTTATGTGAAAATATGCAAAAACTGTGTTTTCACCTCCAATTCTCATGAAGAAATATGATTTAGAAGATTAAACTGAAATACTTTATACTCACGTTAAGCATACTGTGATGGACAATTCATTAAAAGTTGTTACACTTTGAAATAAAATTCTGCATGCATCAATTTCAAAAAGCTATTCAGTGATCCAAAAGCATTGTTTCAAAAGCAAATATTTTTAAACTGCAAAGTCATTACCAATTTTTAAAAAAGAAGGAAGGAAACAATATGGAAAAAAAAAAGCTCACAGTAGAAAGAAAGGCAGGGCAAATGGGAAGCAGCTATTGTGAGAAACGCAAAATGAAAAATTCTATAAGGTACTTACTCCCATGCCCTCCCGGTTCCCTCCCGGTCCTCCTTGAGGGCTGCTGATGTAGTAAGGACCCTGGCGCGAGTGGGTGGAGGAAGAAGTCATGGTGATGGATGAGCTTCCTGTGTGAGCACTACAGCAGAGACCAACCCCCAAAGTGGCATCTCACCTAGAGCCTGAAGTCTGGTCCCCACCACCTTCACCCAGGAGCGTCCTTTGTGCCCAAATCTCTCTGAAAGTTTTGGGAGACTGACAATGAAGCAGAAGTGTCCAGGCTACAGTGACTCCTAATATACCCTCTCAAATCCCAGGGAGATTTTATCCTAGTGTGAATCTGGAAGATTCTCCAGAAGTTTCCATGTGGATTTTAAACCTCTTAGCAAAATACAGCTTTTTCGGTCATGTTGTAACATGTGCGTCCTTTCCAAGGACACAGCCCAGAGAAAGGGTCCCAGGTGCTCACTGGTTCCATGGGATTCCTTGTGCCACTCAGGAGGGTCAGCTCACGGATCAGATAGTGAAAGGCCCTGATGTGGGACACAGGCTCTGGTGCCAGGCTGCTTGTGTGATGTTGGACACGCTGTCTAACCTCTTGGCCTCAGCTAAAATCATGAGGGTAATCAGCTTCATAAGATAGCGCTAAGGGTTAAATCATTAATGCCTTATAAATGCTAGAATTGCATCTGGCATGCACTTCAACTTCTGGCTTTTATTCTATTTGAGTTAGAAAAAGAAAACACGTAGCTTATGGAAAGAACCACAGCATATTGTTTAGAGGAAAAGCATATGCTGCTGAGTGCATCTCTTGCGTATTGGGGTAGCAGGTTGGGGAGAGCTGTCCACTGTATGGTTCATCTGTGGACCTGATCATTTCTTTAGCATGTATTTTGTGTCCTCACAAGCTCCTGTGGGGAAAAAATACCTTACAAATTAACAGGCTTGTTTCTGGGGATGAAGAACTTACAAACTGAGAAGTACGTTAAATATATATGATAGGTATTTCTGTTGTGTTTCTGTGTCCCTGTTTGAAAATGCTGAGCTCCCGTCCTTGCCGGAGCATGGTAACTCTGAGGATACGGTGGAAGGAACAGCTCTCATGGCTGTAACTCAGGGTAACCCTCACTTGGTCTTCCTGATTTTCTTCAGTCCGGTAGATGGATGAAATGCAGGCATCCAAGATGTGAAATAGTTGTGCACGGCATCTTCCTCTCTGCTGACTCCTGCTACAACCCAGTCTTCTTTTCCTTTTCCAAGATGGCAAAGCCTGAACATTGTCCTAATCACTGGAAGGATTCATTACTGATCAAAGAGCAGACAGAAACATGTCCTAACAAGAGGGAGTGTGTGGCAGGGAGGAGACGTACAGCACTCAGTGCAAGTTTTATATCTGGTTTTGTTCTAACAGAATAGTCATATGGCAATACTCACAGGGGACATGCAATCATTTGATTCAGAAGAAATGCATACTTGAGTCACAATAAAGAAGCCAGCATGCTGAACTGAACAGAAAATGGCATGCTGTCAGAAGAGAGGCATTCGAGGATCTCAGGAGAAACAGCAGAAAGGGCAAGTTTGTTTATGTTGCTATGCAAGGAGAACTGATTTCTCCTAGCAAGCAAAGGGCTAAGGGCAGACTGCCCAGTAGGCTCCTGGCCTTGGTCACTTGGACTTGACAAGAGAGATTGACATGGCTTTGCAGCTCATCCTTGAACTAGAAGGCCCTGCCCCAGACGTGATTGTGCAGAGCCCTTTCCATACCTCCTGCGCCAGCTCCTGTTCAAGTTCTCCATTCAAGCTCTGCTGGGAACAAGGAGGCAGAGACCCTGCCTGAACAGTTGCTCTCCGTCTGTATCATCCAAAGAACCTTAATAATATATTATTTAAGAGATGGACACATCAGACGGACAGCTTCTACCCACTAATTTATTCCACAAATGTTGGTCATGGTCAGAGATGGGCTGGGGCAAAGCCAGGAGCCAGAATCTCAAACCAGAACTCTCGCACAGATGACAAGAACCCTGACATTTGTGCCATCACCCTCTGCCTCCCGGAACACATTAGCAACAGAATGTAGACATCAGCAACAGAGCCAGGAATCGAACCTGGGTGCTCTGGCAAGGGATGCACATGCCCCAAGCAGCTTAACTGATGCACCCAATGCCTACAGCATGGGTGCAGGTGTCTAAGCCAGCATGCTCATTGCCGGGCTGCTTGCCTTCCAGGTCTCTGTATTTGAACTGGTGCTAAGTCTCTGTGGGGCTTTAGGCAGCAAGACGTGAAGTATGCAGGCCGCCATGTTAGACTGAAAGAATATATGCTGCTAAACTGCAAAATTAAGATAAAATAAGGATAGCAATTGTAAACTACTTCCAGACCTGATATCCTGAAATACACAGATGGTGCCATTTCATTATCTAATAGTGCTGCTCTGGGCACACACATTCATCTTAAAATTGTTGGAGCTGACGCTGATCAGAAACCTAAGTAAGTCTTTGGATTTTACTCTTTTTTTTAAAAGATTTATTTATTTATTTATTTATTGCAAAGTCAGATATACAGAGAGGAGGAGGTACAGAGAGGAAGATCTCCCTTGCGATGGTTCATGCCCCAAGTAACCGCAAGGGCCAGAGCTGAGCCAATTCGAAACCAGGAGCCAGGAGGTTCCTCCAGATCTCCCTTGTGGGTGCAGGGTCCCAAGGGCTTGGGCCATCCTCGACTGCTTTCCCAGGCCACAAGCAGGGAGCTGGACGGGAAGAAGGGCTTCCAGGATTAGAATCGGTGCCCATATGGGTTCCCGGCATGTTCAAGGCGAGGACTTTAGCTGCTATGCCACGGTGCCGGGTCCAGATTTTGCTCTTCAGTATACACCAGAGTAAATGTTTCTTCAAAAAGTTCACATAAAATAGAAAGGAGACATCGTAGTGGGTCAAGTAGCTCTGACCCAATGCCTGCATTCCATATCAAAGCATCAATTTGAGTCCCTGCGGCTTCATGTCCAATGTAGCTCCCTGCTAATGGTGTGGAAATACAGTAAATGGTGGCGCAATTACCTGGGCCCCTGTCACCCATGTGTGGGCAGCCC